TGAAAAAACAAAAAGGGTCCCCACGGGAGAAAAACCCTGCAAAATTTTTAAAATCCCGGGGGGGGGTTTTGGGGACAGGCTTTCGGGTGGGTTTTTGAAAAAAAATTTGTTTTTTTTTTTTTGGTAAAAATTTTTATTAAATATTAAATATGAATAATGTTTTATATGTATGTATATGAAATAATAATAATAATTTGAATTTTATTTTACTATATAAAAAAAATATTGAAATATATATGTCTATATAATAATAAGTTGTTAAAAAAAAATAAACAATTGTAAAAAAAATACAAATTGCATTATAAAATGTTATAAAAATGAATGTTTTGTATGTAAAATGAATGTAAATGTCGTGTATATATAGTATGTACAAAATATATAAATATAATAATAACAATTTGAGTTAAAAAAAAAAAAAAAGTGAATAATCGAGAGAAAGGTGAGAAACGAGAAATTGGAAAAGAGAGTAAAAGACGAGAGATGAGGAATAAAATACAAAAAGAATAAAATAAAAAAAAAGAATGTAGATAGTCTATGTAAAATAATGAATGAATGAATGAATGAAAGCTATGAAACAAAATTTACAAAATTAAAAAAAAATTTACATAAATAAATATAACCCTTCTATCTTTTTCTTTTTATCAATTAATTTAAAAATTTTAAGGTTCTAATTTCTTCATCGCCCAAAATCTATGAATTTTATCAAATCCTTTTCTATCATTTAATTGTTTCATACAAATATCAACAGTTTCATCCCATTCTTCTTCATTAAATCCAATACCTGTCATAAATGTTTTCAAATTTTTGGCACCCCAAGTATATAAATCTTTATATATTGTACCTAATTTTCCACCCCATTCACCAAATGGTACATTACGTTCTTCATGATTTATATTGGATTCAAGATTCGATATAGAAGATAATATGGGGGGTATAATTGGGGATAAAATTATTTCCATGTTTTTGGTTTCTCGTAATGCTTCAGCGACTAGTAAGATTAAAATTAATTATAAAAATTATTTAAAAGATTAGTATATAATAAAAATAAAATGTATAAAAATAAAATGTAATCGTATAAAATATAAATTCTTACCAGCAGTTCGAGCAGCTTTACAAAAAGGTCCTTCGTTGTACCAATAAAGATCTTTTTCCATAATTTCAACCCATCCACCAGGTTTTGTTACTCTAACAACTTCTTTTATGGCACGTTCCCAATCTTCTACCGAAAAAGCAAAAATCATAAACCGTATATAAACAAAATCAAAAGTATTATCTTCAAATGGTAAACCTAATAAAACATTTGCTTGTTGAAATGAAACATTTTCTGGTTTGATTTCGGTAGGATAAAGTGGAGC